GTCACGGGAATGACGTGGGTTTTTCCGAGACGGATGCATGCGATTTCGGTGTTTAGGTCTTCCACTATCGTGTGGATCCATCGGTATCTCGGCTTGCTCCGCCACATTGCCGGGAGGCTGCCGACGAGGGGCCATGCAAATGGGCCCGGCGGGAGAGGGAGAGCAGCTGCTGCTGAATGCTTCCTTCTCCAATAACATGAAAAAAACCAGACCAAAACAGCCGCTATGATCAAACCACTCAACAAGGTTGAAGAGCACATATCAGCTAGGGCACTGCCTGCCATGGCCTATCTCTCTCGCTAGAAATATAGATGATTATGGACAAAATAATGATATATATATATATACATTACGTTATATTACGTTATAAACTGCATGCAACATTTGTAATTGCAGATAATAATTAAAGGATCAATTTGATTTTTTGAGGATACGGATGAAATTAATTCGAAGATTGTCCTTGGGATTTCCATGTGTTTTTCTTGTAGCCTGTTGTTCATCGACAGATTTTGTATCAAAATATTAATATATCACTAGTAAATGACAATGGTTAATGTTGATGCATGTTTCTGGACACAGTCTTGAGTATCCTTGTGAACTTCCGAGATTTGCAAATTATAAATAAGATGATATTTTAGAGGTCTCAAGTTTGAATAATGAATTTAATACAAAACTCTTGATATCTTTCGAATCCGAGTTTTGGAGCGGATGTGAGTGTCTCTTAATATAGGAGAGCAAAGTTCCGATTCTTAATTATTAAAAAAAGAGGCACTTTGATCATTCTAGAAAACACCCTACCCTGGTCGAAATCAATTTTGCCCGTTGGCACCAAAATTTATAGAGCATAGTCTATTACACAGAGGTCAGAGGGCATAAGGGTAAAACATTCATACTTTTTTTTTTAACACTTCCATGGTTGGAATGCAAAGACCTCCACATAAAAATTCTAATTTTTGGAGAAAAATTCACAGCTGATATTACAAATAGAACTTATATAATGTTAAGTATCACGTGTTGAAAAGAGAAGGGATCTAACAATAGTTTATAATAGACATGGACTACCCTTCTCATTGTCAATTGGTTTTGAGATGAAACCTCGTGAATATTGATATATAAAAATACCTTTCCCCAAGAGAGTAAAAGTAAAATAATAAAATAAAAGAGATAAATATAAATAAGTGATCTAAGGATTTGCCATTTTGATAGCATAATACACCGATTTGGAAAGCTAACCATGGATGGAAACTGAGTTTGTATCTTATTTGCTGTATTGAGACCTCTGTGGATAAGACACCAAAGAAAGAATTTGAATTTTCTCGGAATGAAGAGGCTCCAAAAATTATCAAAGAAAACTGATTGATCAGTTTGTGACAGAAATTGTTAACCTCCCTGTCAAGGACGGCGAGGGGGGAAATTCCAACAGTCAAGTTGCCAAGCTTAAAAAA